AGCTCCTTCCCAATGGGCCCAGGGCTCTACGTACACCAGATGCCCTGAATGGCATACCTGGCCTTGGCCCTGCAGATGCTCTTAAAGTCCAGGAAAGTCATTTGGTTTTCGCTCGCTGCGTTCAGCTGCTTTTTGTGACTTTCTCTTCAGGCGGGCAGGTCTCAAACCCACTCTGATGGTTATGGATGCACCCAAGCTTATGGGGAAGACAAATCTGTGCAGAACGGAGCCTCCACTCAACAGGGGATCCATCACACGCATGGAGTAGCAGGTGATAATCATAGGCAGCAGTCTCAACCTCCTGCTGACAAGGTTCGCGATCCTGCGTGCACGGGTGTACCCAGGGGACAGCTAAATAATGGCTCGCTGCTGTCATGGAGGACTGTGGACAACAATTCCAGTGAGCCGAGGGCATATGCACTAGCTCTTGTTAATCCGCATAACATCTGCTATGCAAATGCTGTCCTGCACATGCTTCACCATGCTAGATCCCGTGAGGGCCTGATAACAGGCCTAGGTAACTTGAATGGCTCACTCATGCAGGCCACCAGATCCAATCAGGCAGTCAACATTGCCAGGGACCCAGCATGGTCATACGTGTGGCCAGGATGGCAACGACCCACTCGCCAGCATGATGCAGCAGAGTTCCTGCAACACCTTTGTCAGCGCACGGCGCGCGCAGCCCTGCAGGGAGGATGGGAGGCCAGAAGGCACGAGGAGGGTGCATATGCGATACTTGATGAACAGTTCACCTGCCCTCACATCAGGTTGCCGATGAGCCGGCCCTTCAAAATCCAAGAGGCCATCCAGCAGTGGCATGACCAAGATAGTGAACATGCATTCACACAACTCCCGGAACTCTTGATTCTGCAGGTCAGTCGCTTTATGCATACTGATCGGGGCATCCGGAAGACCCGACAGTCATTTCAGCTACAACGCCGGATAAATGTACCTCACTTCGTAGATCATGCTGGAAGGGTGGAGCACGCTGCGTACCACTACGCGGAGGGGTACTTCATGTTGGGCAGGTAGTCACTGCTGGCCACTATCAAGCATTCTACTTCCCAGGGGATGATCAAGATATATGGCAGACACATATGACGCATGACGATGGCCAGGCAGCGCAGAGAGGCAGCGAGGCCACCAAGCAAGCCATACAAACTAACTGCTACCTTCTTGCTTACAGCAGGAATTAACATTGTGACGGGGCTTGTGGTTACTCCACTCCCCAAACTGGTCTCCTTGCTCCGGGCGTGAAGGTTTACTGACACTAGTTGATTCAACATTTGAACTGCCAGTAGCCAAAACTGCAGCTGCGGCCAGTAGTAGCCTTGGCATTTCAAATTATTGCACAGGACCACCACACTCAGCCACAAAGCCATGGCCACCTCCTCCTCCATTCGGCCTGATGCCCTGACGCCTGAGGCAGCCGATTGTCCAGACACTGCGCCAGTGGCTGTCACAGGGAAAAGACTACAACGGTACAAGACTACCCTGGATTTGTCGCTACGCCGCTTCTTTCGAAAGCAGGGCCTAGCACCCGGGGCCATCTCATACCGTGTAAGGGCCCTATGGAAAGAGGTGCTCGATGGGTCGTTGTATGAAAACGACCTCACCCAGGCTCTTCTACACACTGTCCGTAAAGACCTTCAGGTTTCCACCCTAATCCGGGATCACATCTCGCGCATCCTTGTTACCTCAGACTCGGAGTCGGAGCGAGAGTGCGAAGAGCCCACATCGGGCACGCAGAAGCCCAGGGTAGCCAAACGCCTCCGCAACTGAGTGCTCAAGTCCAGTTCCCCCTGAGTGATGCATGCAATCACCGGGCTGACATCATTTTTAAACGGCAGCGCTTGAGGTCTCCTCACGCTTGCTGAAGATGTCCTTGTGATATGTAACACTCGCTACAGCCTTGTTTTCAGTTTACCTTCGGCATGGTGTTTGAGGTTTCCTCACACCAACTGGGGAAGCCCGCGAAACCGCCGGCTCTCATGTACATATATCCTGTACCACTTTCTTTTGTAGTATCAACGTCCCTGCCTGACGCATATGGGGTCGGGCTCCTAGGAGCACAGCTCCGCGGCTGCAAAGGCAGCTATACGTTATGTTGTCGGGCTCCTCGGAGCACAACATGACGTTTGCCTCACCGGCGAGCCCTCAACTGAGGGGTGACAAGGTTCACACTCGCCCGCATGACAACTGACTCAGTTGATGCGATTGAATGAAAAAAATGATGATGCATCACGCTTGCAGTTCGGAAGGTATGTGCAAATGTTTCGGAAGGTTGAGCCAGTGTATGAGGGCATCAGGTGATGATGGGGGTGGAGGTGAGTGATGCCAGTCCAGAGGGACATTAAAAAGATGTGTGATGGGTTCGAAGGGGCCCATTATGCCGGTGATGCCAGAGGGTATCGTCCTGCATGCATGGCACGCATCTACGTCTGTTGGACCTACCCCAGTCGTTATCTGCATGAGCACGGAGCAGCAAAATGAGCGCATCGTTGATTGGCTCAATGAATACCATTGTACTTGTTGATTCTTCGATTTGATTGCGATTCGAATATATTTTTATTTACTCAAGTGGATTAGGTATATAATCGGTATATAACTGCGAAGTTTGTATTATGGGAATAAAATGGGCTTCGTTTATGGCTGAAAAGCACCACTTGATTTGGGCCGGTGGCAACACTCAGATTTCCGCATTGTTGCGCCCTGACGTTTGTACACATGTTTCCACAGCTGCAGTTGACATACGTGTGACAAGGATTGTCCGGTACCGCAATCATGTTTTTCTTGTTTTGTTTGCAAAAAGAACATGTGCATAGAATGCGTTTAAACTGCCACAACGAGAATGCAGCAAACGTGATGCCATGAAATACAACAGCTCAAACGGACCGCGCCTCCGGTTTTTATTCGCTCCATTGCAAGCATGTCTTGGACACATCCTAGATGGGTCAAGATGCAGTAGTGTGTTTCCAAAATGATCAGTTTCCCACATTGCCACAAAATGTGGAGGGAAAAATGTGGAGGGTGTCCGATTTTGAGATTGGTGCATTTTGTGATGCACCACCGCACGTCGGGAACATGCCTTCGGTCCCTTCGAGATTCGCTTTGGAGCATTCACCGGCCTGCAGCTGATAGCTTCAAGTCGTCGGCACGGCGAGCCGGCCTCTTTGCAGGAGGCCAGATGCTTGTGGCATGCCTTCTATGCACCTTGAGAGTTCGCATTCGAAGTGTTCAACGTGGCAGATGTTTTGAGACCTCAAGATTTCACAAAGCCATGGTGACAGCCTCAGCATGGAGTTGCTTAAGATGAAGGCTCATGTTTCGCCGCTGCATAGGTCACACGTGGTCAGATGCCGTTAGCCAGAGCCTTTGATTCTTGTGACACATATAAGTTACGTGGAGGACATTGTGAGCTTGCCGCTTTGCAGGGACGGATCATTCACTCGCCCTGCCTTGGGCAGACAGTGCCTTACTTGCCACAGGCAGCCGGACATGCAGATGTGCAATCGTGTTGCGGCGGATGCATGCGGGTGCATAGTTTAAATAATGTCGGCACATTGCCATTGGCAGGCCACAGCGAGATATGTTCCAGCAACTCGAAAGCAATGGCAGTTGGCAGGACAATCACGAGATAGCAAAAAGCAAAAGGGAACATCATTGGATACACTACGGCGTTGAGCCCTTCACACGGTTCTGGCTGCTGCAGCACTGTTGACGGCAGATCTGAATGCTTACATCAAACACTGTTGTCTATAGTAGGAAAACCTCCGCGTAAGATTTGTGCATTGAAATCAAACCATGCGCGCTAGCTGCAAAATCAGTAAGTAGTTGAGGTCGAAAGAGCAGTTGCAACGTCAACGCTGGAAGTAAGGCAATGCATGGTCCGGCAATGCCATTGCCTTTTTCTCGCGAGGCCGAGGCCAGGTGATGCATGTGATGTTTGTTAGCTGATCTTTGTAAAGTCTTGTTTTGCTTCTGATAGGCGGTGGCGACGGCTTTTTCTTGGGGTAGACAAGTAAGCTTAGAAATAGGCAGTAACTAAAGAATTCGTGAATCCAGGACGTTGATAGGGAGCAAGCAAGCACAGCACGATCCTCCTCCTCCGCCGTTCTGTCTGGTCTAGCTCTTATTTCGTTGGCCTTATGGAATAGGAAGCGAGCTTTCGTTTCAGGCTCATTTCGCTGACGCCTACAATACTTCTCTCGGGCTCTGATCTATCAAGTGAAATTGGGAAGGCCCTGCAGCGGAGGGCAGAAAGAGGCCGCAGGCGTTTCTCCCACGACTGGAGATTCCGGAAGACCCCAGCCTTGACTTGACAATCAACTCCAGCTAAGCGGGGTGCTATCAGGGAGCCTTGTGGCCTTGTGCTTTGCACAGCCCTTCTTTCCAGTAACAGGTTGGCCCAAAAGTGTTGCATGGGTCTCTTTGACCATGGTTGTCTCCCCAGAAAAGGCGGTAAGCTTTTGAACAGAAATTCACGAATGAAGGAGCACATAGGAGGCAAGGTCAGAGGGGTTCTAGGGATTCTAGGGACCACCGCAGGAAATATGTGGTCTGCATCAAGAAGCCTGCAGTCCATTTCCTCAAAGAGCAGATCAAATTCAGAATCATCATAGTCCATGTTTCGGGCTGAAGGCAAATGCTGTGTTCGGCTTTCAATGATGGTCGTTCAGGGATCATGCAGCAAGAGAAGGCGTTGAAGAATTGGGTTTCATCGCCTCTCCAGGTCTGGTCATACACGCTGACAAACAGGAGAACTAATAAAGTCATCATACAACCTAAATTATCAGTCTGGCTCCCGTGCAATGAGACGTACAATGAGAGCAGTCAATGCAGAATGCCATGTGCTTGCAACGTGCGGGTGCAAAAGCAACACATGCACATTCCACACCCCTGCATTCGGCACGTGGGGGGTTGTTCTAAAGGTCCTTGCAAAGATGGGACTCTTGGGAATACACTTCCTTGAAGGGGGATCCCCGCCAAACAGGGAGCCTACATGATAGCCATTTTGCGGACAGGTACTCTGAACAACCACAACGTCTCGTTCCAGCAATCAAAAAGTGTGTGATTCTAAGCCTCAGCAGTGCAAGCCTCACGGCCTGGCTGGTGAACATGTACACTTAAATTTTTCAGATCCTGCGACAAGCCAAGCCCAGCTGCCTTGTAGTTTGTGCCAGCCAATCAAACAACTTCTTATGAATTCGCAAGGAAACATGCAGCCTTAATGTTACTAGCCGTAGCACCTGTTATGGTTCTTTCTAAACATTGCTGCCCGAATCGGCCCGGCTGCAAGACGGACAAAAGGGGGATCCGTGCAGAGACAAAGAGAATCAGAGGGGCTGCGGAATCATTTAGTTCGTCTGCAGTAAGCATTCGAAGGGCAGCGCCGTAGTGTTGCCCAGGTTCTGCCGAGTTTTGTTGGTTTGCCACTGGAGTTCCTTGCCGCTGTCTCTATTTCAACGCTCTGACTGAGCCAGCTATACTGAAATCGACAAAGGAGTGCCCTGGATGCTGTCGTCAGTTGTACACCTACCACGGCATGATTCTCTTGGTCCACAACATCCTGAGACTCTTCAAGGGGTTGCGGGCGCTATGGGGCTAATGGCCTCTCTTTGAATGTCTGTGGCTGGAGCGGAGGCAAGATTAAACTTGGCACAGCTCGTGGCTCACATTTGCAGCTTAAATTGTGCGTCTAGAAATCATGCAGGAAGAGCAAGGTCAGGGTGCATCCAGATCTTTTCTGCACACTTTCCAGTAAAATGTCAGGGTGCCGAAAAGGCTTAAGCCTTTTGACAGGCAATGGTTTTCTGGATCAATACTGCGGGTGTTGGGGAGATGCTCTCTGCAACGAGTTCAAAGTTAGACACACAAAGAGTCACAGGCGGAGCTCAGCCATACGCCTCAAGGGAAGGTACTCCGAGGAATAGAAACGCCCTGCCCGAAGACGTACAACAGTCTCTTTTGCATAGATCTCCAATTTAACAAAAAACGTTCTGAACGTACAAAATGTTCAAGCAGAAGTTCAAGCGTAAGGCAACACAATGTCGCAGACGGTCATAGACAAAAGGAGGTGGAGTTACCTCTTGGGCTTCAAGTCATTCCGTGCAGACGGGTATCGATATCGCGACGCTGCCCTAATGCTGCCTACGAAACTGCCCCAAATTCGGCAGGACTTTTTTTTTTTTTTTTTTTT